AAATCATCATGACATTTTACGACACTAGTCAAGAAACGCTTCCTACCAATTCAACATGCCATTCAAATCCTCATGCTTTAAGAAGTATTGATGGACGCAGTTTAACTTTGTATCGTCTTAACAATATATTTAGATTTCATCATCATCATCATCATTCACTATTTAAGTAACTCTAACTTTGTATATAAACACCTGCAGATAATTCAGCTATCCTTACTTCTCATACTTTAAGAACAATTTACAAGCATAGCCATGCTCTGTATCGTCTTAAAAATATACTAAGATTTCATCATACTCATTAAGTCAAAAAAGTATCCGAAGAAAAGTTATCATTTAAAGAGTCTAGAATAGTTTCTATTTTACATTGTTCTTATACATAATCATGCATAATCCATTGTTCTATTTTTCTATTAATAACACAGCACCGTCCCAGCGTCCGTGCTACATATGTAGTTAGAGGCACATGCTTATAGGCTCTATATGAACGTGTCAGCCACATTAGTCTCGCTGCTTTCTTTCCGATAGGCGTGACAATCATGCGGGCTGACATCATCATTAACCTTTATAAAAGGAAACCAAATCTGGTACGAAAATCATCATCATTAGAAGTTGATCCATTCATTAAGTTCGGTCGTCTATATCTTGTGAGACTTTACACCAAAGGACCAGAATTTTAGAACTAACAGCCCGGCAATACAACCAGCCAAAGCAAACAATTTCAAAGACTTAGATAAAAAATGTCAGCAAACAAAGAATCAGCAAGCCAAGCAGTAGATCCTAACAGTAATTAATCACAAGCTGCTACATCAAATACGGATCAAGTTAAAGCAGCTATCGCCGAGTCGCTGGCAAAAGAGAAAGACATAATTGAAGCTAAATTGGAAAAGAGTAAAGTAACCCAAGAATTTGAGAGAGAAGCTTGGAAAGGTAGGACTAAAGAATTAGAAGATATTATAGACCATCTTCAAACGCCCAAAGCGAACTCTTCCGTCGCATAGTCCGCCACAGTTCGGAGGACATTTCAACAAACTAAAGACAATAATGTCGATCAGCTAGATCTTTACTTTGGAAGTTTTACAGGCACTGAGGAGGACAAAAGTCCATATGCGGCTAGTCTATTGATAGGACATGCAAGATCCTGTGGTACGCAAACTATTGGGAGAGGGAAGAGAAAGAACTGCCAGCGTGGAATAACTTCAAGGATATTTTGTTAAAGACATTCAGTATGCCATGAGAGGAGCGTCATCACATTAGACAGTATCTGAATTTACGACAAACAAACTCAGTCCAAGACCTTATTGATGAGCACAGGAAGTTGCATATAGTCTTACCACACAGACTTCTGATGCCCGAGGAATTAGACATTTATAACTTCTCAATAGCGCTCAACCCAGAAATACAAGATCACGTGTTATGGAAAGAACCTAAGACACTCATTGATGCCTACCAATACGCATGCAACTTTGAACAAACAATTATAAGCGATCGACACCTACAGAGACGATTTGCTAGAAAAAGAAGTAACATGCAGTGCTATGGCTATGAGCAGATAGGACACTTAATTCGTAAATGCCATCACAGTGAGGGATTCTTAGTAGAAGTAACAAAGTCTTCCTGGGGTAAGCGTGAACACTCAGGGACTAAGATGATCACAATACAGGTTTGAACTGATGGAGAAGATGGATACAGAAGCAATCACGATTTTGTTGCAAACGATTTGTATAAAGAAACAATTCCAAAATACATGGTAACGTGACATTTTATCATGCTGGCAAACGAAGAAGAGAGTAGACATCGCTTGGTTAAGAATAGACTTGTAGGCTTAACAATCACAAGAATGACCTACTTTTCTGCGAAGGATTCAAAGCGGAGTTAACTTGAGACAAATGTAAGATTAAAGCAACTAGGATAGAAGATAATAGAGCTTGAAACAATTGAATTTGCAGAGGTGAAGAAAGAAGCAACGAAAACTGAAAATTGTTTTAGCAATGATTCAAGAAGTATAGAGTAAAAGAAGATAAAGCTTATAAGTAGAATGGGATTTCATAATTCCACCTTTTCTATATTATATATATATCTTTTCTCTAGATAAAGGTTTGACTCCTTAACCTGGGTGAGGGCAAGTGAAATCCAGAATTTCATTCCTTCAATAAGTTCATACGTCTAATTTGCGCAACTTCACATATGAAGGAGCAGCAATGTACTGTCGATATCATAGCTCGATTCCAAAAACTTGCATAGCTGGAATGTCTTGCTTTCGCTATTATTCTTAAATTTTTACTGAGTAATATTTTGTTTGACTTCCTTTATATCACTGAGTTTACGACAGCAATGGCTCGTTAGTTGTAATCATAGGCATTAGAAACATGGCGTAAAATTGGAAAACGTAGACAGTGGTATAATGAAATTGTACGCGCACGGCGTAATACTCAAGGTAATGTTAGACCATGTGAGAAATATGAATGAGGCTGAGAAAAGAAATTTAGAAACAAGAATGAATTGCTAAAATGAGGAAATATATCAAGCCGAAAACACTGGACACTAAGAAAGACATTCATTATGGAAGTCTGAAAGGACAATAAGCAAATACACAACAAAGGTGCTAAAATATTTTCTCTTTCGAATATTGCTATGGCGGTAAAGATATATGTTTATTTTTAAGGCTAATAAAGAAGAGGGAAATTTTTCCCTTTTTCTAATATATCGCACTGACAATCTACTCAAGAACAAGAAATGAGATCATCTATATTGTGAGCTACAGATGTGGAATTTCTCAAAGAAGTTAGAAAATCCCTCTGGAAGTTATATTTCATCGTCTCATTTCCTGTTTTATGTTATCATTTTAGCCACCATATGCATGTTGGCGTAGCGGAAGAAGTAATACTAAGAGGGAGTAAAAGCGAACCACCCAATTAAACGGTGTAGATATTGGGATTGAAGAACCATCAGGTTTGAACCAGTTCCTTATGCACGCTATAGGATTGGCACAATCTGGTACAATAGCACTACATTCAGCCTTCGTAGGGACTACGTTTTCTTCTAAACGCTCATTAAAAAATAAATGTGTCAAGGCGCTCTTTGACTTTGTGGATGACAAGGATAATGTCCATTATAGAGGCATAGCTGAGGTCTACAATAATGGCGATGTCAGTGTCTTTCCAATGACTCTGAATGCCTACAATCATGGTATAGAAGGTGCTACAGGTCACCTGAAAGATCTCGGGAAGAAAACTGCCCAGTTTACAATTGACTATGATACGAAATGGAAAGCTGTAGTTGGGATAGACGTTGAGGGCATGTAGAATCCGGGAGTGGAGAGTAACATTTATGAAAGCCTATATCACGAATTCCTGTCAAATTGCCAAGGTGGCTACTTAACAAACATTTTCAACCTAAGCCTATTACTGGCCTCAAATACGTAAAAATACAATATCATGGGCAAGAGAAGACACAAACAAAGTAAATTGAAGTAGGAGAGGTTCTCACTATGATCAATCTGCGGGAATATCCACTGCGGTACGTAAAGGTAATCAGTAAAGATTATGCAAAATTATGAGCATCAACATACCCAGTACCGATATACCAACAGTTTCTGGATGTACTATAAAAAGCAGAAGGCGTTGAAATTTAGATCAGGTTCCAACATTCAGTGTCTATTACTTGATAAGTATGGACATAGAAATTAGAAGCACGACACGTGAAAAGAACAATAGGACAATTAAGAAGAGAAAATCATGTAAGAGGTACAATGCTGTAACAGAACGATGTGTTTCTCTAGTAATAAAAGCACTTTTTACATATCAAAAACGCAATAGAAGTATGCAAAGAAAATCATTAATAAATTATAGAATAGAAATACAAATTATGTCAATAAATGAGCTCCTATTTAGAGATGCAAACTGTAATGCAAGAGAGGTCTAAGAAAGCGAAGAAAAAGTAAGAGATAAATGTAGCAAGAAGCTTCAAAGCACCTTGTCAATAATCTTGCAGGGTCAGGTTAGATAAACATGACAAAGGAAATCCACTCACATGCATGACACCATTAGACAGCAAAATATCACTTCGAAGGATATTCGCAGTGGTATATCCATCATGTCCTACGACCTGCTTCATACCGTCAGGCTTCTCGACTATAGCAACGCAAGATCCCTCGAGCGTCTCGAGCGAGAGTCCATCAACGAGCTCCGGGGAGTAGAACATTGAGCCATTTGTGAGAAAGTGTCGCAAAACAATCTCACGATGCTCGTCATCTGTCCTCGATTGAGCGTAGATATCCTCCGAAAGTGCCTGAGATGTTGGCACGAATGCAGTCAGACCATACATGCTCCGTATATCTTGCTTGAGGAGAGAATCCGTCACGAAATCCGCAACGTCCCCCAAACCGAGTATGGAGAGTGTGTCGAAGAAATCGCCAGGCATACCAACGAATTCTGGTACAGTCCATATATGCACATTCATGTAAGTCGTTCGGCCTTCCACAGCGAGCGTTTTGAGCGCTGTCGAAATGTTTATCTTCGCACCGTCATGTGTGACGTCAACAACAACTTTTTGAGATTGCGACGAATGGTCTCTTGAACGTATGAAGAAGGAAGGAACGATATAGCGTCCATCTGTGTAGGGTGTCCAACCATCGAGTATGTGGTAGCTGAGCAGTTGCTGAAGTTTTGCAGGTGCGAGTTGGGATATACCACTGTTATAGAACGCACTGTTCAAAGGTGCTATTAAAGTGACAGGAGAGTTATCCCTTCCAAGGTAAGTTTCGAATATTTCTGGGACTTCCTTGACGATCTCACCGAGTGTGTGAGCGTTGAGATTGTTGAGTGCTTGTACAAGGCCGTTGGTAAATACATTTGTCGGCATTCCTGACTGTCCTAACACAAGCGCTGTTGCTTGGACTAAAATGGCTAAAGTTGTTTGTTTGTACCACTTCATGAGTGACGAGAAGACAGATGATCATACTCACAAATTAATTACTATAAGATAGCTCGTATATAATTTTATTAGTGGATTAGTGTAATTACACTATCAATCTCTTGCTTGTTTGCGTTCAAGAGTTATCAGAGGAGATGAGCCACTTATACTCAAAACCAGAAGTTAGCTACGTTAGGGATGGTCTATTAACATCACCAGTCGAGAGATTAGATGGTAGACAGTCAGAAGATTTCAGATCTATCGAATTTGAGAGAGGAAATCTTCTCAACAGTTCAGGGAGCTGCTTAGTGAGAACTAAAGGTTGTGAATGGCAGACGAGTATAAAGTTGGAGATTGCGGAAGGTGCAGAAGTCAGCTGTATTGACACTCAAGTAGATTTCACGTCTTCCACCTTGAACACATCGAGAATACCTGAGAATATGTCAGCTGGGATGCTCAGCAATTTGCTTAGAAATACAATTACACTCCCAATCGAACAGTTTAGGATTATAGATGCAGATGAGAAATCTAAGTGGTTTAGATTGTCGATATCGTCCACATTAGCAACAATTGATGATTCGAGTTATAGTAATATAATAGATACGTTATACCTCAGCGTGTTTATATCGTTGTTAGATGTCAGGCTACCTCACACTCAGCCGTTGAACTATGAAGAAAACCAGACGGATTCGCTCAAAATAGGGAAACAGCAAAGTAAAAAGGGCATAGATTTTGAACTTATCGACTCACACAAGGGTGGTTTCTCACTGGAGGGGTTGAATGATATTCCGTTGTCGATAACGATAAATGTTATCAAGGGTGTTCATTTTATAGACGCGACTTCACTTGAAGACTCAATAGACGATCTTATTTCTGTCACGCTGATGTTTAATCAACAGGGCCAGATCAAGGGCACTCAGCTAAATGGCAAAGGGGAACTAGAGTACAGCCAGCTTAACGGTGTAATACAGGTGAGTAAATACTCTGTACATTCTATAAATATTAATAGATATTCCAGCATGGTTCTAGACTGATAAAAGATCTATTTAAACTTGTAGTATAAAATTCATTCCTCGTCCTCAGTTACGCACTGTCCCCCTTGTTTATCACTTACCATCTCGCAAAGCCAGACGCAGGTCGTCAGCCACGTAATAATGCCTACAAAAACGCTGTTCAGTGTTTGGTCACTATTCGATATTTGCCTTTTGGTAGCTGGCTCTGTTACAATCTCCGTCAGTGTATCTTGGGCATCTCCAGATTTGCTGAGAGATTTGGTACTTAATGAATCGGAAAGGAAAGGTATGTGTTAGGTAGTATACTAATATAAAACATTTCTAAGAATAACCTCATTAGCTGGTCTATCTTTAGGTATATACATCATAATAGTAGTGGCCTACTCGGTGTTCGCTATTCTACGTAGAAGAGCTATCTACTTAAAGATATTCAATCTACTCTTGATTACTCTCACACTCTTTGCTATCATCGTCGGTGGGTGCATTTTATTACTCAAAAACGCAAAACTAATCAAGACATCAGCTTCTTCTCTTTGGATTTTATCACTTAAGCAACACAAGTGTTAGTACACTATTTAAAATAATTACACCCTCTGAAACAACATCCAGTCATGCGCAGTGTATGGACTGACCTATCGACTGAAACCCAAGTAAATATACAGAATGAACTCCATTGTTGCGGGTTTCAGAATACAACAACCAGCGGATTATTCGATTCGAACGCTAATACAGGCTTCTGCGCCGATCTCGACAGTAAAGATGGTTGTATGAGGCCATTAATAAGTTACTCAAATGATTATCTCAATCAGACTTTCTCGTTGGTGGTATTATTATCTATTATTACTATACTGACAACCATACTAGTACAATCTATGGCTTCGTCGTCATACTCATTTGCTTGTTCTTAGCCACAGTATGTATTATAAATGAACGGGCAAAGGAGGACAGGTTCAGGCGCATCGACGCAAAGCGTAACGTCAACAAATTCGCTGATTAGTAGTCAGCCACTTGCATAGCATCAATTTGTATCATCAGACAGCTCTCATCACTCTTTATAGACAATTTGTAATGCATATACAACAGTTCTACTTATCTCTTGGTTGTGACCATTGTACGGACAAGATAAGATTATCGTAACCCATACCGTTCACCTTTTCTAATGCCTTCTCAGCATCTGATCTCAACTCGAAACTGACGAAAGCGAAACCCTTTGATGCTCTAGTCTCCCTATCTCTACCGATGAATACTCTTTGGACACGACCGAATCTTCTAAACAGCTCTCTAAGATCGTCCTCATGAGTGTCCTCAGAAACATTTGTAACACGGAGAGTTGGATATTCGTCTCTGGAAGGACCACCAGGACCTGCACCGGACGCTCTTGCACCTGCTCTTTGTGATGGTGGGATGTATTTACCAGTTGAAGTAGCAGCAGCAGCAGTGCCTTGGTTTGCGTTGCTCTCGTCTGGAGTTTGGGTAGAATCTTGTGCTGAATCGAGGTCTCCAAGTGTGGATTTGTATGGACATTTTGTGGTAAAGTGATCACCTTTACATAATCTACAGACGATCTTCTTAGATTTCAGACGCTCCTTCATCAATTGTTCCTCTGATGGTTCTTCAACGGCGGACTAGTATGTTTTAGCTGTGTAAGTAGATTGGTAGTATATAACTCACGTCGTTACCAGCTGATAATTTCAGTACAACATTCTCGCCGACGGTCGTTGTCGCTCTGTCTGGACCAGCTGGCTTTCCCTTCTCGAGACCAAATTTTGGCCAAGTCTTACGGTCTGCTACTGCTTGATTTACATTAGACTTCTTGAGTACTTTTTTAAACTTTCTAGTAACTTGTACTCTCTTCCCATCTGGTAACGTACGGACTTCTATCGTCGTGATAACATCCGAATCTGGAGTTGTTATCGTCTTTATTTGTGGCTCTGGGGCTGCTATCGTCTCGTCGACGTCGTCTGCCCAGCTCGTCGATTGCAATTTATCAGTTGACATTTTGGTAGAAAGGAGGAAGAATGTAAAAGTTTCTATTATCGAGAATAAAATTATTTGGGTATACAATATACACTAATCTACGAGCTTAACTTGGAATGTACCTGCTCTTTTCAGTTTTTTTCTCTTCTGCTTTATTAGCACTTACAGCCTGGCAGAGCGCTCACATCGCAGCTGACTTGCGAGGAGAGGTTGAATGCACTTAGACAACCCTGTATAATACCAAGCTGGATAGACAAGAACTTCCTATTGTTAACTGCGTGAAGAACATACAGATGACTCACAATCGACATCCTCTTAGACGCACTCTCATCCGAGCTGCTGAGATTTACTAGCGGTCTATAGCTATTGTCGTGTAGTACGAATGTACCCTATACCTATTAATTTGAGTAACAAAAGTGCGTCGGACACACCTTATGGTTCGTTCGTAGATTGTCGAGCTGTTTACCGTAAATGAACGTCCAAATTTCCTTGCAGAGGAGTTTTATCACTTCTAGGTTATCATTTAAAGGTTCACGCGTCTGTTTTATTCTTCACATTGTAAGCTCATATCAATATCGTCATTCGACACACCTCTCAGCAACGGTATGGCCTATAGAAGTGCCAACATGCTTCAATTTCTTAGTGAGCTCCTCATCGACACTCTCCTCTGTGATATCACGATCATCCCTCTTCATCTCCTCTTCTGTTGAGGTTCTCAAAGTGGGGATGAGTTCAATAGTGAGAAGATCATTAAGTACGCTATCAACAGCTACGTTGTTGTCCACGCTCGTTGATGATCTCGCATTGCTTGCACTGTTTCTACTCAAATTTAGAGATGACTTGGACATATCGTAGGACGAGGAGATTGCAGCGGCTTCTTCAGCTACTATCACCTTTTTAATAAAGAAATATAGTGAGATATATATTTATATATACTTCATCTCTAATCTTTTATTAACAGAATGATTATTCTCCCTGGTCCTGCAGCTCTGCCGGTAGCAAAGCAGCAGTCACTCACTGAAGCAGCTTCAAAAGTGCTTAGCAAAGTGAAGAGAGTTGACGCACGTTTTGTGCACTTCGTAGATGTTAAGAAGCCTCTCGATGATACTCAACAGTCCATTCTCAGCGATTTGCTCGTCTACGGTGAAAAGAGTGATTTGGATTTAGGTAGAGCGTTTTACGTTATTCCACGTCCAGGTTCTATTACTCCTTGGTCTACAAAAGCTTCAGATATCGCCAAAATGTGTAGATTGGATGGTGTAGTTGATCGTATAGAGAGAGGTATTGCATATGTTATAGAAACTACAGACAACTCAGCTGTCAAATTGAATGAATTGGCTCCATTTTCTCATTTGTTGTTCGATAGAATGACCCAATTGCTTATCGATTCTCCACCAATGGACAAGGATATGTTTGAAAAGTTGTCTCCTGCACCACTCAAGACTGTTCAATTACCAAAGGATGAGAGTGAAGCTAGAATGACACTCATCACTGCTAACTCAAGTCTCGGTTTGGCGCTCTCACCTGATGAGATCGAATACCTCGTCGGCGCATTCGTTAGTCACCCATCCAATGCACTCATGAGGGATCCTACAGATGTTGAATTGTTCATGTTTGCTCAAGTCAACTCAGAGCATTGTCGTCACAAGATCTTCAACGCACAATGGACAATTGACGGCAAAGTTCGCGATTTGAGTTTATTCCAAATGATCAGAAACACGGAGAAAGTTATTAATGGTTTAAACACAGTTAGTGCATACTCCGACAATGCAGCTATTCTTCAAGGATCAAAAGCTGCTCGTTTCGCTGCCGTACAAGGTGACACTGGTTTGCCTGTCTACAGCGCTCGTCCAGAGGATATGCCAATTTTGGCAAAGGTTGAAACTCACAACCACCCTACTGCTGTATCTCCATATCCTGGTGCAGCCACAGGATCAGGTGGTGAAATCCGTGACGAGGGTGCTGTTGGAAGAGGTTCTAAACCTAAAGCGGGCATGAGCGGTTTCACAACCTCCAACCTTCTCATCCCTGACAATATCCAACCATGGGAGACAGACTTCGGAAAGCCTTCTCACATTGCCTCCAGTTTGGACATCATGATTGATGGTCCACTCGGTGCATCTAGTTTCAACAACGAGTTTGGTCGTCCAGCAATCTCAGGTTACTTTAGAACATTCTGCGAGGAAGTCCCTGTTGATGAAAATAAAACTGAAATTAGAGGTTACCACAAGCCAATTATGTTAGCAGGTGGTCTCGGTAACGTTCGTCCACAGTTCACACACAAAGGACAGATCAGCGTTGGCGCTCACATTATCGTCCTCGGTGGTCCTGGAATGCTCATCGGTCTTGGTGGTGGTGCCGCATCATCAATGGCTTCAGGTGCCAGCTCCGCAGAGCTTGATTTCGCAAGTGTCCAAAGAGAGAATCCAGAAATGCAACGCAGATGCCAACAAGTTATTGATAGCTGTGTTTCACTCGATAATGGCAATCCAATTCAATCCATTCATGATGTTGGTGCTGGTGGTCTCTCAAACGCTCTCCCTGAGCTCGTTCACGATGCTGGCCTCGGTGCACACTTTGAGATTCGTGATGTTCTCTTGGCTGATGAGAGCATGTCTCCAATGGAGATCTGGTGTAACGAATCACAGGAACGTTACGTTATGGCAGTCGCTCCATCTAACCTCGCTCTCTTTGAGCAGATCGCTAAGCGTGAACGTTGTCCATACGCTATAGTCGGTCGTGCTACCGAAGAAGAAAGATTGCTTTTGACTGATAGATTACTCAAGAGCACACCAATCGATTTACCAATGTCAATCTTGTTCGGTAAAACACCAAGAATGTCACGCGAAGTCGAGACTGCCACTCCATACAGAGATGAATTCGACACATCACTTGGTAAATACTTAGGTTCTGGTTTGGATGTTAAGCAAATCATGACTGAATCTGTCGACCGTGTTATGAGATTGCCTACAGTTGCCTCAAAATCCTTCTTGATCACTATTGGTGATAGATCCATTACTGGTTTGGTTTCACGTGAACAGATGGTCGGTCCATGGCAAGTACCAGTTGCCGATGTCGCTGTAACACGCACATCATACGGCTTTGACAATCTCTATGGTGAAGCTATGGCATGCGGTGAGAGAACACCACTCGCATTGTTGAGTGCTGCAGCTAGTGGTAGAATGGCAGTCGCTGAATCGCTCACAAATGCGGCAGCAGCCAACATCGCAGATTTGTCAAGCGTCAAACTCTCAGCTAACTGGATGTCAGCAGCTGGATACGAAGGTGAAGGTGCACGTCTCTACGAGGCTGTTCAAGCTGTCGGTATGGACCTCTGTCCTAAGCTCGAGATCGGTATTCCTGTAGGAAAGGACTCAATGTCGATGTCAATGAAGTGGAGTGAAGAAGAAAAGCAAAAGCAAGTTACTGCTCCACTCTCATTGATCGTCACTGCTTTCGCTCCTGTTCAGGATGTCAGCAAGACTTGGACTCCAGAATTAAGAAGAGATGTTAATGACACTTCACTTGTTTTCATTGATCTCGCTGACAAACATCAACGTATGGGTGGTTCAGCAATTGCCCAAGTCTATAAGCAAATTGGTAAAGAATGTCCTGATGTTGTTGACGCCAAGGTTCTCAAGTCCTTCTTTGGCGCTTGCCAATATGCCCGTGAGGTTGATCCAGAGTTAGTATTAGCCTACCACGATAGAAGTGACGGTGGTCTCTTTACAACTATTGCAGAGATGGCTTTCGCTGGTAGATCAGGTGAGTGTTATTCAATTTAATATGGAACCATGCTAATGATAATTCCAGGTGTTGAGATTATGGCTGACTCACTCGGCGCTGATCCTATTCAAGCGCTCTTCAATGAGGAACTTGGTGTCGTATTGCAGGTCGAATCAAACAAGCTCGCTCTACTCGCTCAAGTATTCCACAAGGCAGGATTCCCACCAAGTGCGATCCATACTATTGGTCGCGTAACGCCAGAAAACGAAAACGTCACCGTTGTTCAACATAGCAGAGCAATTTACGAGACTACTCGTGCAGAATTACAAAAGAAATGGGCAGAAACATCATTCAAAATGCAAAGTCTTCGTGATGATCCAACATGCGCTCAAGAGGAATTCAACGCTATTGAGGCATCTGCAACTGAAAACCCGGGTCTTCGCTACAACCTTAGTTTCGACCCTGCATTGTCGAGATTACCAGCATCTTTGACTGAGCGTCCAAAAGTTGCTATCTTGCGTGAGCAAGGTGTAAACGGTCATATGGAAATGGCTTGGGCATTCGATATGGCCGGTTTCCAAGCCGTCGATGTTCATATGTCAGATATCCTCACTGGTGCTACTACCCTCAAGGAGTTTAGAGGTTTGGCTGCCTGTGGTGGTTTCTCATATGGTGATGTCCTCGGTGCGGGTGCTGGTTGGGGTAAATCTATACTCCTCAATCCAATCGCTAGAGCTGAATTCGAGGCTTTCTTCCACGATGAGAAGAAATTCGCTCTTGGTGTTTGTAACGGTAACCAACTCTTCGGTACTCTCAAACCAATCATCCCTGGTGCAGAACACTGGCCAGTCTGGAAACCAAACAGATCAAACCGTTTCGAAGGTCGCACATGTATGGTGGAAATTGAGAAGAACACTGAGAGTATCTTCCTCAAACCACTTGCAGGTTCCAAACTCCCAATTGCAATCGCACACGGTGAAGGTAGAGCTGAATTTGAAAGCGATTCAGATAAGAATACTCTCAGTGATAGTGGAAACGTCGCCATTAGATACTTGGATGGAGATGATAAGTGGGCTACTAACTACCCAGCTAATCCAAACGGTTCACCAGATGCCATCGGTGGTGTCGTTGGTGCAAATGGCCGTGTTTTAGGTTTAATGCCACAGTAAGTTTCTTCATATCGAAAGGGACATCTTCTAATTAAAAATTAACAGCCCTGAACGTAACACAATGACAGAATCAAACTCCTACACTGATCCTACTCAAGCAAAGGCTTGGAAGGGCACTGGTCCATGGTTCTCCATGTTCGTCGCTGCTAGAAAATGGGTTGGATAAATTATTTCTTTTCTCTCTTTTTCTTTACAGTCGCAAAAATTGTTGATTTCTATATTGGATATGCAAAATGTTTCTTTTCTTTCAAATTTTTATGGTTTTTGTGCAAATAAAATGAAATAACAATGCAAAAATACATCTAATTACATTTGTCCCAATTAATGCAATAATGGTAATCAAAATGCCTATGCTATGGTTGTTTAGTATTCTTTGTATTCCGTTTCCCTTTCTTTTTGTTCCTTTTATATTTGTGATCGTCTGGACCTGCTAAAGCGTGTCCGGTGTCTCTGACTGTCTTGGGTTAATAATTATCGAAGATTAAAAGGTCTTACCCACTATGGTTAAATAATTTTGTACGTGAGCTAAATGGTTCATGGCAAACATTGCAGTACTTCAAATGTTTGTTAAAAACGATGAAAGCTATAAAAGAACAACCCACTAATGTTATTGGCACTGCATTCTCTAACGCTCTCTTGGCAGCTTCGCGTGCCCTCCTCTTTTCTTTCTTCGTCCGCTGAGGCTTCTCATCGGGTATATATAATGGCTTCTTGACGGGAACAGGTGATGGATCACGATTATTCTCGACTTCAACTCCATCTACTTTCAAATTATCCAATTGAGACACAATTTGTTCGTCAATTTCTTCATTTATCTTCTTCTCTTCGTAATCGACACTACCGAGATCAGAAGTGTGAGTTGTTTCTGTCTCGGTGTGCGATTCACTCTCATTGTTAGCAACTTGGTTGAGATCCAGCTGACGCTCAATGTCATGTTCTATCTCTGTTTCATGGATCAGGTTATCAACTTTAGCCTCAACGGTTGTGCTCAATGTTGGAGTAGATTCTCCGGGAGTTTCACACATGCTACTAGCTGCATCCTGCACGTAGTCATGTTCCTGTAGACTACTCTCATTGAGACGTTGTCCTCCACCATTTTTAATCAATTCGCGTTCTTCTTTTTCGAGATGTTTGCGTAAACTTCGATTATAATTAGTATCCATATTTATAATCAGATGACCACCTACATTTTTACCATCTGATTATGTTTCTTGCTTTTTTCATGATTCTCAAATGCTTTTTCAGAATTGAAGTTTTTGTCACATGCAAAGCAATGTAATTTGTCCATTTCTTCAAGTTCTTCGGCTTCTTCTACTGCCATATCATAGGATGATACTTGTTGCCAGGATTGCTCTACAAATGTTGCAGCAGCTGCATTACGCTCCTTCTTACGAACTTCATTCGCCTCACTGCGTCTCTGTTGGGCTGCCTCTGGTGAAGCATATTGTGCTTGCTTTTTGGCATAATTTCTATATCTAGGGTCACGTTTTCTGATGAAAAACGTGAGTTGGCGTATAGTCTCATTGTATTCTTTCCTAGCTTCGTCTCTTGCAGCTTTATTTTCCTTCTCCATTATACGTCTAACACGCCTATCTTGGGCATCACGAAGATCCCATAAGTCGCGCCATGCGAAGCATTTACGTGAGCTGAATCCGCCAAAAAGAGCATAAAAATCACGTGGTGTTGACTCAAATGGTGTGTTCTCATCACCAAACCCTGGATAAGCTGGACAGGGGCCGTTGTCTTCTTCGAAATCGTATGGTGCTGCTGTAGCTTCTTCCTCAGCTAATCGAGCATATAAGGCACCCATAATGGTGTAGAAACCCTTGACATTGTCAATAAAGAAATTGTAGAGAAGAGATGCGCTACCTTGGATGAGCTATCATAGCCATTCCAGAGTTTCGGATTGAAGAATCGTATGAGTTGTCTAGTGGTAATACCAGGATCTTTGGTAAGGCGTGTCTTACGTGCGCCCTGTCCGTTCAACATTTCCTCAAATGCGGCTGCATCATCTTCTTCGCCTGAGAGGAAGGTTAGAAGGATCATAGGATGTGTATAGCAAACACACCAGCTTCTTCTGCTGCATTCTTATTCTGATCATACCACGCGCGTTCTTGTTCGTCGCTGGTCGATATGTTAGGTAAGTAGATCAAAAAAGGGGTAAACGCACGATAAAGTCTCATAAGCTTCTTGTAGCTTTGAAAACTTTTGGTTCGCGGCTTCAACGTTACCAGGATTTTTGTCTGGATGGTCTGTCAAAAATACCAAATCAGTAAGTGACGTTAAGTAGGGTTATCTATCACTAACGAATGAGGGCTAACTTCCTAAACGATTTCTAGTATAGTTTGTTAGGAAGGTGGTTGTATGTCTAGATAGCACCCACTTTGATATCGTCCTGTGAAGCATCTTCAGAGATGCATAAGAGTTGATAGAACTAGATACGATGAGAATTGATAGTGAATAGAAAGAGAATAGTTACATCTTTACTATCATCGTCGTCACTACTTAGTGTCGATGTACTTTGTCTATTTCCCATAAAAATCCACTTTGTTCAGATACTTTGATGATGGTCGGAATGGAAGAAGATCAAAAGCAGATTATTGGGAGAGTTGGTCAGCCAATGGGAAGCAACCAGTTCACAGTAGACGTCCCAGATAATCTAATAAACAAATCAAGCGATGATAGTACATACACACAAGTTCTCGTTCAACTCGGTAGAAGCATGACAAGTTCAAAGAAGACAAAAACGTGGGTTAAGAGGGGCTCATTGTGCTATTTAGAGCCATACAACGACGATAAGATAAAAGTTTGGGGTGAGATGGTCTCTATTCTCTCAGCAAACGATGAAAAAGCGTTAAAGAAGTCAAACAACTGGTTAGTCACTTACTGTATATTTATACACATCCATTAACTCATCAATAGGCCTAAAGCATTCACTCAAACACCCCCACAGTCACAGAATACTCAAGAGAATGTCGAGAACGACGGAGACGATGATTTGTTCGTCAATCCTAACAGAAGAACGGTCGTCGAAGAATCCGATGATAGTGAAGAAGAAGAGAGTGATTAAGTTATGCATATATAGAATGAAAATATTACTTTGTACTACTACCATCGAATACTAATGCTGTACCATCGTCCGAGCCTGTTATTATTCTGCTACCATCTTTAGATACCGCGACACTAAGTACAGGCTCTGAGTGTCCCTCGAATTCCTTCACTTGGCTACCAGTACGTGCATCGAACATACGGACTTTGTGATCAACACAACCGACCGCAAAGAATGGTGATTGATGTTGGAATTCTAATACTGTAATTGGTTCCTCGATGTTCATTGTGTTACGTACTCTCATCGTCGTCAAGTCGATAACGTTCAAAACACCATCTGTACCAGCAGTAACGACGACACCTGCAGGACCTTGTCCAGCTGCACCTTCAGGAAGGAAAGCGACGGCTTCTATCGATTCACCCTCCTTGTGACATTCGAAACTACCGACAACTTGTCCGTTAGAAAGGTTAACAGCTCTGACACCACCGGCAGCACCACCTGCGACGACAATCGTACCTGCCGGGTTGACAGCCATAGCTGTTATACCACCATCGAGGTTGAAACGAGCGTCATTTGCAGTGATTTTAGTAACTGCTGTACCTTCAGTTGGTGACCACATAATGAGTGAGCCATCAGAAGATGAAGAAACGATGGCTTTACCATCTGGGGTGAATCTACCGCATGTAACCATTTCTGTGTGTCCTGAGAAGACATTCATGTTATCGCCCTTCGGTACTGATGATCTCATTAGCTGCGAAGAGGAAATAAAGGGTGAACATACACTTCCACATCCAGATAGTAGTGTCAGCGCAACCTGTAAGTAAAACAGTACCCCTTGGGTGCCAATCTATCCACTGTAAACGTGTTAGCTAAGCCTCCACAGTCAAATCGATTACTAACAGTACACTCATCGCCGAGCTGAAGATCAACCTTGAGTGACCAGTCTGAGGTGTCCCAGATCTTAACGAAACCATCCATACCACCTGTAGCAACGAACTGACCGTCTTTTGAGAAAGCGACGGAAGTGACAGAATCTGTGTGTCCTTCTAAGCTGGCTATTGCGTGTTCACCATCAGTGATGTTCCATACGTGTGCTTTATCGTCACCACCAGCGCTAACGATAATTTCTGGGTTATTTGGGTGTATAGCTATGGCGTAGACAGGTTCTTTGTGACCGAAGAAGCCTTGTATCGAGTCGTCCTTTGCGTTTATCATATCGATATTCTAGTAGAGAGTTAATGAATAGTAGTGTTGATTAACAATCCACTCACAGCTTGCTGTTCTTCGTCTAACTCCGGCTCAAGTTCTCCCTCGTCATCGTCGTCTTCCATTGGCTCTCCAGTGTCTTCCAAATCCTCCTCTAGCATCTCATCTTTGTTAAGATAGAGATCTTGTCCATCTTGTTCTTCTATATTCTCTTGTTGTGGATCTGACATCGTCGATGTTCACTCTTGACCCGTTCCATCAACGTAAAAATGCCACCTTTATTACAAAAATCTAAGCAATTGGGGAGTAAAGAGATGTCCCTATTCAGGCAATTACTAGTGTGTTATTATCTACTATATATCTCTATTTAACTGTTTATAGCAATTGCACGATGAAAGACAATACAAAAAGGGTGTTAAGGTTGCTGATACAATCTTAAAGAAGAACCCAGAGCACGGTGGTGAGTATGGCGTTTATATCCCTATCTCTTTCAGTCTCATCTCTCCATAGAGACACTCGCAATGAAAGGTCTCATTTTGTACAACATGGGCGAGAAAGAGAGCGGTCTGGATTACGTTAAGAGGGGTGTCAGGTTAGACCTCACCTCTCACATCGTTTGGCACGTTTACGGTATCGTACAGCGTCAAGAACACAAGTACGAGGATGCTCTGAAATCATACACTCAAGCTTTAAGACACGATTCTGAGAACGTCGCACTCATCAGAGACGTATGTACACTCTCTACTCATCTCCGACAATTCGAGCCATTGGTCGAACAGCGCTTATTCATGCTCAAGACACGTCCTTCCATGCGCTCACATTGGATTAGCGCTGCAGTTGCTTTAGACTTGGCTGGACATCAAGACAAAGCCCTACTCGTACTTAGTGACTTTGAAGGAACACTTTCTGATCTCAACAACGCTGACGCTAGCCTTAAATATGAGATGAGCGAAGTTTACCTCTATCATATCTCAATTTTGGAGAAATTAGATAAATACCAAGAAGCTCTTCAAATGCTCACAGATAAGCAATCGAACATATCTGATCTTGTTGCTTGGAGAGAAAGTCATGCCCGTATTTTAACAAGTCTTGACAAGTTAGACGAAGCAGGCGATGCTTGGAGATTACTCATACAGAGTAACCCTGAAAACAAAGGCTACTACATTGGCTTTTTCAAGACCAAAAAGATCGATTTGAGTGGGTTTATTATTATTTCAACTATTCTTCTAACACTTCATAGCACAAAATCTTGAAGAAAAGGAGAAGGTCTCTGCCCTTAAGACACTCGGTCTTTTCTACGAGCAGTTCCCTAAAGCTGGTGTTATTCAAAGACTCAGACTGGACTTGGCATTTAAAGAATCATTCAAAGATATTGCACACGAGTATATCACTAGCAGACTTACTAAAGGTGTTCCATCTCTCTTTGTTGACCTCAAATCTTTGTACAACGATGTTGAAAAGTTGCAAATCATCGGTGACTTAGTCGAAGGTTATCGCACAGAACTCGAGAAGTCTTGCAAGTACTCTTCTACTGATGGTAGGTTTGTTTTATGTATTTATCAACAATTCTGACAATCTACCAGATAAGACTCAACCAACAACCTCCTACATCTGGACACTCTATTATCTCACTCAACACTATTCTCAAATTCGCCAATATGAGAAGGCACTCGAAACAGTTAAAGCAGCAATTGAACATACACCAACACTCCCAGAACTTTACCTTGCTCAAGGACGTACATTGAAGAGGCTCGGCAACCAAGCCGGTGCATGTGAATCAGTTGAAATTGCTAGAGAACTAGATGGTCAGGATAGATTCTTGAATGGAAAATCAGCAAAGTATCTCATACGTAATGGTGAAATCGAAAAGGCCGAGCAATTACTTAGTTTATTCACCCGTAAAGCTGCTCCATCTTCGGCTTATGACTTGTGTGATATGGAAGCTCTCTGGTTTATGCGTGAGGAAGCTAAATCATATGGACAAAAGCAAGAATATGGTATGGCCCTCAAACGTCTTCACCAAGTCTTTGACACTTTCAACCAATGGGAAGAAGATCAATATGATTTCCATATCTACTGTTTGAGAAAGTATACTATCAGGTCATACTTAACAACGCTCAAACTTGAAGATGAGTTACGTCAGAATAAAAACTACATTGATTCCGCAATTGAGGCTGTCAGAATATACTATCAACTCCACGATGATTCTAGCCTCGTTGAGAAATTGACGAACCCACAAAGTAAGTTTTGTCTGGCTATATTTATATTCTGACAACACTTTAGGCGGCTTGCCAGACAAGAAAGCCCAGAAGAAAGCTAAGAAGGAGAAGGAGAAGGCAGCAGCCCAACAGAAAGCCAAGGGAGGTAAAGATTCAGATGGATTACCAGCACCAGTTGAAGATAAGGATCCACAAGGCTATGAGCTCCTTAAGACTGAAGAGCCATTGGGAGTTGCCGTCAAAATTCTTGCTCCACTTGCGAACACCAAGCGTATCGATTTACATCACGTTCAATTCGAAATTGCATTTAGGAGAGGCAAATTTGCACAAGCCATGAAGGCACTTAACAAGACTGCATCGATCAACCCAGACTGCAGAATGCTCCATGTCCAATCACTTAAATTAAAGCAAGCGCGTGAGTCTAACTTCTCTCTTATATATCGTCATCTCACATGATTACAGTCGAATCTGACGACAAGCAGAACGCGGAAGTTAAGGAGGCTATCGTTGAGTCACTTGAGAAAATCATTCCAAAAGATGTCAACCTTGAGAGCTGGAACGCAGATTACTTGCAGCGCAACCATCACAATCCATTGAGATTACTCGGAGCAGCTGAAGCAGTAGTTCTCATCCGCGGTGAAGCTAGCGCTAAGGAGGCTGTCAACATCGTCTTCAACGTCGATATGAAGCTTCTCGATGCTACTTCTGCAACTCAAATCAAGGGATTCATCGAAAAATACGATAGTGAACGTCTTGAAGCTTTCCGTGTGAAGCTCAATACTCAATTCCCATACAGTGATGTCTTCAAGAGTGATGAGCAGAAAGAAAATGAGAAAAGAGCTATTGAACAGACTCGTGCCAAAAGAACTGAAGCGGAAGTTGAACAAAACAAATAGAATCTATGTGAATTAGAAAAAAGCTAATATGTGGAAAACATGCATTGCATTTACTTATTCAAGGGAGCAGTTTGCATTATTAGTTGGAGAAGTGCTAGTGTGCCGGGGTGTTTCAACATCCTAAAATTTGAGATATAGTCGAAATCTCATCTGTCGCCTTCATAATCGGATACAGACTAAAAATAGAGGAACAAAAAAAATTATAGGATACGAGTGAGGCGCTCTAACCCCTGAGCTAAAGGCGCTCTACTCCAAGAATAGAGTGATGCGCCTTAACGGATTCGAACCATCGTCCTCCTCATGTCGTCTGACAGCAAGAGCTGCTCCCGTGATACCAAAACATCTTGTGGATTTTTGTTCTTGAAGGAATATTATCTGACTGAAAATACTCCAAATTTTTAATTTTTGTGAAAATTTGCATCTCGAGGGATGGACGATCATCATCGAAAATCGGCCGATTTGCCGGAGGGGCATAAAAACCCTCCCAGTGAATCCGCAAGCGCCGAATTCACAGGTGAGCACTTTTTAAACGATATATCGTTCGATTTCGGTGCTGCTGACGCGCGAGGAAATCTCGACGCGTCGCAACACGGGAGGAGACAGAGTCAAAGACTCAATACTAATTTAAATAAGAGGCGCAGAACCGATAATGAAAGTTACGGAACGCGTAGTTTTGATATATTCCCGCTCATTGAGCAAATCAACAAATCGGTGAACCAAATTGTTGAAAAGAGGGAACAAGGGAATGATAATACCCTCAAAGAGATGGCTAACTCTCTTAAAGAGATAACCAACTCTCTCACCGTGATGGATAAATCCCACCACGAGAGAGTCGACAGACTTGAGCAGGAATTGAGGGAAATAAAGGAGCAAAGGGAAACCCCAAGCTACTTACCAGCAGTACCCTCATACGCCC